CTTGCACGAAAGAACGTGTATTTCAACGCCCTTCCTCAAGCCAGGCCAATAGGCGCGTTGTCTCAACGGATCGTAGGTCCTGACGTAACTGATATGTGCCATCTCGTGACAAGAAATTACCAGCTTGCGTCTTCATCATCATTATACACGTTAGTTGCAGGGCCGAGATCACCTCAAATATGGTGCTGCGATACAAAAGAAAAAATGAAACGGAGGCACGCTGGCTGAGTCACTAATAACGGATGGACAACATTCCAGAGCGCTTACAGCCAGCTATTATGTCGCACAAAAGGAGTTATATTATGCTTAGTAAGTGAGATGGTGATTAGAGGGAAACGCTAAGCGGAAGGGGGATGGACAAAGAAACTCACAACACGAACGCTACTGAAGTCGGCTACAAGCCATGTCAAGTAGTATATCCAGCCAAACGTGTTCATCGTCTTTCGGACCCCAACCAGGGAGCCGAGACGCTCCAACCGAGGCCAGCTGCGAAGTGAGGGCCCTCATTTCTCGCTTGCACACCCCTCCTCTTCTTCCATTAACACCCCTGGCGAGCAAACAACGCACGTCGCCGGAGTCGGTGGGTTGGCATGCGCAAGACGTGGCCGAGCCATCGGAGTCTGGTGCGTGGAATGACGGTGTTGAACGGTTCAGTTCCTTTTCCTGTGCCATAAACAAGGCGTCGAACACGCTCAATGCCCACACGGTGTTCCCACTAGGTATGAGCCAAAGTGCGAAGGCAAGATTGCGCCTTAGTTTCGTCGGAATAACAGGCACCGGTGTTGGTATCTCATGTATTTCACATCAGAAGTATTGCTTCATTTACTCGTAATTTTTTAAGATTCCCCGCAAACCACCCGAGCTGCCTGTGCTGGCTCTTGTTTAGGACTGATTGACCGGTTATTTGTGCAGTGAGGACTTTGCGCAAAAGTTTGTTATCACGTTTCTCGGCTGCCAACTTTCACGGGTCCTGCTCCAACAGTATCCCATTAATACCAAAAGCCACACTCGGCAGGTCATCTTCGTTCATCATGCGTGACAAAAAGCTGCAGTTTGGTTCTCCTTCCCTGGTACGTGTTTTATCGTGAAATCGTATTCCTGTAGGCGCAAAGCCCATCGCGCCAGCTTTCCCCTGGGGTCTTTGGCAGACTTAATCCATTCCAAAAGCTTTTGGTCCGTTTCGATGTGAAATCACTGACCAAGCAGATATGGCCGTCATTTGTCCCACACCCAGAGGACTGCGAGACAATCCTTCTCTATGGTTGAGTATATCAGTTCTGCCGGTGTCAAAATTCTGCTGGCGTACTCAATCGTCCCATGGCTTTGTTGCAAAACCGCCGGACTTCGATGTCGTTGGCATCTGTGGCCACTGTAAACATCTCTCCAGTAATGGGCAATTATAGGATCAGGTCCTGCCTTCTCATTCCCCGTAGAATGCGATCAAAGGATTGTTGGTCTTCTGTAGTCCAAGTGAATTTATTATCCTGTTACAGCAGCTAGTACAATGATGAGGCCAAATAGTTGAATTCCTTGATGAAATTACTGGTACCCAGCACGGCCCAGAGAATGCGCTTTGAGGTAGGAACTGGGGTCCTTTGTATTGTCAATATTTTCTCAGGTAGTGATCTCAGTTCATCTTGCCCTATTTTATGGCCCAATAAGTGACAAAAGTCTTTCCGATTTGAGACTTCGGTCCATTTATACGGAGTCTTGACTGCTGAATCCGTTCCAGGACTGCTACGAGATGACCGCTGTGCTCCTCCTCTGATTGGATATACAGTACGATCATCAATGCCGTACACCGCCATGTTTTCCAAGCCACCCATTAAGCGCATCATTAAATGTCGGAAGGCAAACGGGGCTCCCGATAATCCAAAAAGTATCCTTCTAAATTGGTAGCTTTTTACCGAAGGTAAACGCCGTTTTTCCCCAGTCTCGTTTGAGCGCCAATTGCAAGTACCCAGAGCTCAGAGCCGGAACCGCAAATATTCTCGACTGTTGCAGTTTATTAAAATATCAGCAACTGATGGCACTGGAAGGAAAGGATTCAAGGAAATTTCATTCAGCCTTAAGAAGCCCACACAGAAACGATACTTCCCATTAGCCTGCTCCACCAAAAACTACTGGAGAATTGTATGGACTGTGCGCCTCTCCAATCCTATCCGCCTCCAACATCTGTACTTGCCTCATCACGTAGGCTTCCAGATGGATTGGTATCTTTCGAGGTCACTGGGGCCGATACGTTAGGCGGGTTAGTGGGATGGTGTGCTCGATCCAGTCACAAAATCCATACGGGCTACCGTCATCTCTAAACAAGGGATGATACTTGGTGATCAGTGACTGCAAGGTCGGGCTCAAATGCAACGCGGTAATAACCGATTACGAGTGTATCGTTCCTCCAAGGCCAATGATTAGCGAAAACCCGCATTTAGTGATAATTTCTATCGCTTTAGATCGACGACAGCCCTGCTGAACGCTAGGAAATCTGTCTCCAATATTGTTTGTTTCGCATCTGGTGACACAATGAAGACGTGCATTAGTTTCTGTCCCCCAATCCCCACGATGTATTATACGGTACCATCAACGCCCACTGAGTAACTGACAACAGCTCTCATGACCATGAAGCAAGATCGAAGCTTTTCGCCCCGCCGATGATTGATCAGCGACACTGCGGCATATGTATCGATCAGACATCGTGCCATCGTTCCGTCTACTTCCACTATCGCTTCGATCACCCCCATACTCAGCGCCCCGAGTACACATTTCTCCATCTGAGAAGAGAAACAAGGTTGAATGCGCGTATTTGGTACAAGGGAAACAGCACGCCACACCGAGTATTGTCTTTTCCAGTGTCCGGTTGCCCGAAAAGAAAGCAACACTCCCTTGTTCGTTCCTCCGAACGCTAAACGCGAAGCCCATTGACATTTTCCGCAAGCTGTTCCATCATCTGTTTCAATTTATACATCCACTCCACGTTTTCATGGTGTCCTTTTTCTGCGCAGCGAGTGGTGCGACGCCCAGCTCTCTAGTAACCTGTACCAACTCCTCCAGCCGCATTCCCGGAGTAGCGTTCGCAATCTGGACGCGTTCCGCGGTTGGATGTAGGAAACCGGTCATGAACTGATCCACTAGTAATTGTTGTTTTGACGGTTCGTCCATTCCAGGCAAGACCGGGTCCAATAAGCTTCTGATGTGGAATGCAAACACAAGAACATCCTTGCCTACACCAAGCCGTGCCGTCTTGAACCGTCGCCCCGCCTCCTGATGGTCGGCCGGGCTGTCCAATACCGAGACCAGCGTATCCTTTGCAGCTGCCCACTCCAACTCGACGGGGCCTCTTTGCACTGCCTCCAGGACTGCCTTCATCCTACCCTTGAAGGGACTCCGCAGGGACACCAGCTTCGCCTAGTTGGTTTTGACTCCAACCGCTGCCACATCCTCGAGTTCCTCCGAGAGGGTCCTCACAACGCCTTCCTCAAAAGGCTCCGGCCAGAGGATCTTAATGGCGCACCTTGGTTGATCACGGCACCAATGTAAGAACTCGAGGGGCAAGCGAAATTATTTACTACCTCAAACATAGCTTATCTGAGGTGCACCCCGTTTCGACAAATGAGACATCCACTCATCTTCGCAATCCCTGCTGGAGGTTGCCCGGCGCCAATTTCTTACTGTGTCTAGGGCTTGTATGGTGTGCACTGCTTATGTGTCCATTCCTCTCGCGCATAAAAATGCGGTGCCAGTGTTTTACACCTTTGGGGGAGTCATTACGTTCTGCTGTTGGTTAGATGCCGTTTCGTATTCTGGCATTTCCATACTACGGGTAGCTGGTGCAGTAGTGTCTGCCTTTAGTCCACCATAGAATGATGCAGAGGTGGCTGCACAGTGAGAAGCTGCTACACTATGCTGAGAGCGACTCCGACACCGAAACCATCACGGGAAAGGATTCTGTATCACCGGAGATGCGAAGGGTGTAATCCCTATAAATAGAACCCGAGTCTGGTAAGCACGGACATATTAAGAAGCCGTTACGGCTTATATCCGTTTTCGAGACACGGCACCCGTCGACCAGTCTGCCACAGTGTGCAGACGCTAAAATCTCTCACGCAGAACGTACCCTATGTTGGAAAGATGACCCGGTTTTCGTGGTAGCATGGCTGATGAATTCGGTAATAGTCTCTTGCTGGTTAACACGAGATGAGGGAAAGGAAACGTAGAGGGGAAATTGCTTGCGACGGTATATTGCGGTTAGATCATACTGTCTGGCTTCGCACTCTGAGAGAGGTGCCTCGATTCTATCCTTCGTCTCAACAATCTGACTACCAAGACAATAGGGTAAAGAGAGGTTTGGTTGACGAACACCACCTAAATCTTTGACTAAGTAGTTTGTCCAACAAAACAGTAGGGATCATGACCGGCTCAGAAATGTGACCGCGCAATATATTCAGGACCTGCATGAGTTGAGCAACACGCAGCGCCGTTGGAAGGGTCGGAATAACCCATGTGTTTTGAGCGTCCTAAAGTGCATACTAGTGACCGCAGTCAACCAAACGAGAGTTCTGCAGAGTCTTCAACCTCCAACGTATGTAGCAAGTAATAGTCACTGGTGAACTTTCGCAGATACCGGAAGATCCAACGCCGAGGTCGACATGGTGCGTTTAGAGCACTGGATGGCTAAGTTCAAATCAGTGAGGCACACTACTCGAGTCATGAAAGGAGTACATTGTGTGCATGATAGAGCTGATGGTAAACAATGGTGGATTCGGAGAGCCGCATTAAGTGTACATAGCTATAGGAGCCCAGCAGCTCCAACGCTCTAGTGAACGACAGTGGGTGGAAAACATAAGGTTAACATTTCTGGAGGGTAAAGCACTGTGATCTAAGTAACTGCCAATAACAAGCCGGCATCCTTCTGGACAGAAATTCGTTCGTGTTTCCAGTGCCATGTTTTGGCAGCGAACCTCACGTGAAAGTAAAAGTTCTAAGAAGCTGGATTCACCAACCTGAGAGCACATTGATTCCAGTTCATTTAACTGTGACAGGAAATAGTGGGAGTGTGAGGAATCACACGCCGACACACTTCTTATTAGGCTATGAAGTACATATTGCGCAGGGTGTGTGAGACGACAACGTAACTTCTCCAACCGGAACGAGTCCTTTTGTTCGGGTGTCCAGAAAGATCGATTGAGAAATATGCGGGGAAATAGGAAGCTGAAAAGGAAGATATGGAAAAGCATGCGAATTTTTATGGTGTGTCCACACACGATCGGAATGTGACTATTTAGAACCGGATGGAAACATGTATGTGGAAAAAGAGGGCAACTGAAAGTAAACATGCCCAAAATCGATGCAAAGCAATGCGATGGTGACTGTGGTGGCTGGTATCACCCGCGTTTTACAAAAACAATGCTTCACAGGATTGAGAAAAACATGTTCCCCTATTGTATCCCAGTGTAAACTCATGTCCGAAATAAGCATTCCAGTATTATTTGGGCGCAAAGTTACCAAAACAAAGGGTGTGGGCCAATTTCAAAAGATATACGAACAGATATCCCATGTTCCAATTGCCAAGTCATTTCCATCCTAGGTGTGCTGAGTTCTCATCCAGTGTTGGCGTTGTACAAAAGCAGACCAGACTATTACCTTGTTCTGTGCAGTATGTATGGCCAGCCCGATGATCGAGAAAGTAGGTGACTTACATAAGAAATGCCATAAGCAAAAACCCATTACATCTGAGCACAGTCATCTCACGCCGGAAAATATCCTGTGGGGGCATTTTATCCGTTCGGAAGTTATTAGCAATGCGCAGTCCATCTGACGCCTAATGGGCTCGAACCGCAAATCGATTATTATTGTAGTCAAGACCATTGAGCAACGGGGGCGGCAAACATCATTGTGACTAAGTTGCTAGAAGTTCGTAATGCGCCAACTATTACCCAGTGATTCACCTCACGCTCGCAAAAGTAATGAAAGCTAACATTGTTGTGATACTAATAGATCGTTTAGGAAGATCCATCATCAAAGTACAGGATCAAAACTGTTCCCATCAACACCGGTCATGTTCTGCCAATCTAATGACTGCGCGTGACAGTTGGACCGAAGCAGCGGCTGGTGGGACCGGGACCAATACATATACAGTGCAACCTGTAGAAGGCGACCACTCAAGCGACTGACAAAAAGTGGTCGCCTTGGATAGGTCGTCGCCATGAATAGGTACATGCATGGGGACATTACTGACAGGAAAAAACTTTCGGGGTGTTGTTGGCTGGTCGCCATAGGTAGGTGGTCGCCATAGCAGGATGGACTGTATCTAGCCTTTTCCAAGGCCTTAGATCGCCGCATCTTTCTCCATAAGCTGTAAAGCCTGCGGAGCTGGATGGATCGCAAGCATCCTACTACAGCGAAGGCTGCCGGCGCAGGTACGGCGCACATTCTCTGATCCGACTGAGATAAACGCTGGGGCCGCGGTGACTCTCGGTCATCACTAACGACTTCGCGCGTACCATGGAAGCAAATTTCTTGCGTTTTGCCGACGACATCAAGAGGTGCCAGGCAACAAGTAATCAGATAGTTCACAATTTGTTGCAACGGGACCTGGACCGCATTTCTGTATGGTTAAAGACAAACTTACGCCAGTTCACTGGGAATAGGTGTATAGTAACACATGTACGACACAAGCCAGGTAACAGATATAAACTGGGAGACCACTTCATGAAGATCGCTTCAAAGGAGCGCGTACTTGGGGTGGTAAATCAAGATAACCTCAGTTGTTCGGAGTAATCTGTGAGTGTCCAAAACAGGAAATCACCATTCTGGCCTCTTATGGAGGGCATTCGAACGGTTCGACCATTGAGTCTTCATGAAAAGGTTCAATGCATATGTGAGAACCCATGTGGAGTATACGACTCAATTCTGGTAACCCTGGCACAATTGTACCCGAAACACCACAGCGAACGGCAACCAAAAAGGTTAAAAACATGCCCCATCAAACAGATGGGAAGGAAAGCACTAGGATTTATTGTTGTCTACGAGATGGTCCCATCCTGACGCGGTAGAGACTTAAAAACCCCTGTCACATTTGCCACCTCACCCTGAAACAGTCGCATCACAAAATTGAGGGGCTATTAGCTGAAACTGGCCGTGCAACACAGCCAATTAGAATATTGTCGAAATATTTTCTTCCTCCAACTTTGTGGGCTGTGGGGTGATCTACAAACTTTTGTTAATTCCGTGCCCACGTTACCCATTTTAGCAGTCTCGACAATGCAGTACACCATTTGCATTATGGGACATGATTCCATTTCGTCGACAAAACGCGGACAAACACTGTGCACACCAGCCCCAACGAAATCGGGGTAGACGAATCTACATGTGTGTAACGTGGACAAAATGGTGTCCACAGATCTGCAGTTGACCTTGCTGTCGAATAGTTTCCTTTTAACATAAGTATTTCACACAGACCATTTTACGGGACATGTCAAGCCTAAGCATTTGTACCCGTATTATGTCATAGTTCCGCTATTCCACAATGCATTCGGTGAACATCAGTCAGGGGGAAGTGGCAATACTACATATTGCACATAATGATAGATGATAGCAAAGTGGCTGTAATCTAAATATGTACCTCCCTAGTAAGATCATGCAGCAATTGTAGACTTAAGGTAAGGTTGAGTTCCAGTAAGAAACAAATCCCTCTCCCCGAAGTTAACAATAGACGATCCAACAAACGCGTAGGTCGTCTCAATGATGGCACTTTGCATTTGAACCAGGAATATCATGTCACCACAAACACTGGGTTAGATACATACAAATGCAGTTTGTTAGTGTATTAAATGGAAGCTAAAGTAAGAAGTGACACACGATTAAATCCATGGGAATTCAGTTGCAGTTCGACATCTAGGAGAAAGTATTACCCGTAATAAACAGTGTTAAAAGGAGGACTTATCTTGAAGATATTGCGTAACATCAAGGCACATGTTCGAAAGTAAAACTGTTAGAAATACTGTGAAAACGTTTGTGTACAAACGGGCAACTTCACATACGCATACATAACAGCAATTAATGTATCGGCCTATTTTCTGTTGGCGTCATTTTCAGAGACATTTCTGAAAATGTAATTTAAGGCATTGAACTATTCCATTATCTATAATTTCATGGGCACGTTTAGGTAAAAAAGGAGTCCTCTTTACAATTATGTTGACCAACCCAAGTATTTTTTTGAAAAAAAGATTTTATTTTCTTGTATGTTCACAAAACGCGTGTAAAATGGGAAATCCAAAGTGGTTAGTTTCCTTTAAGTAATTACTCATTAAAAATGACTAACTTTCGCCATACCTGTGTTAAGTCATATGTCTATAACACATCGTCAAATATAATCACTTAAAATGTGTGTGCATCCATGAGCTGCAACCATCTGTACCCCTTTAAGGAGGCCAAAAACGAATGATTCCGTGACATGTACCTTGGGATCGATTAAATTATTGGTAACATGATTGAAAATGTGCCCGATATATTACGCCCCATACTATTGCAATGTGAAACATTTGGCATTGTAATAACTCGCTCTTTTTATATCATGGTCTTTATTACAACTGTGTGCAAACTAGTGCAACTAGTTAAATTCGTTTCTTCAACAGGAAACTTAAATTACATACTGTACAAAATGATAGAAGCAGACGGTGTCCTGGAACGCAACATTTACACCAGGTATCCGGGTGATGGACAAAACGCTGATGAAGATGATATCACTCAAGTGATTCAGGATGCTGGATTTCTTGATCTGTCAGCAACGCAACAACTCAGTGCACGCGATAGAACTATCAACAACGCAAGCTACAACGTCAAGATGGAGAGAGCGACAGAGTGAGAGATGGCGGACAGCGTAGACACAGAGGTGTGATTGGGGACACAGTTACGACCGATAATTGCGTGAAGCATTGAGAACACAAGGTTAGGTAAAACCAAGATCAACAAGAACGCACCGCGAAAACAAATAAAAACTTACAAAACGGGCAAAATGAGTATGGTACCCGGAAGCGGAGCCAAAAGTAGTATCGGCGAAATCCGAAACAGATCACGCGGCACCTGTTCGATAGAAACAGAAAGATAGGATGCAGGAATGATGGAACCTAACTCAAAAGCATCCAACATAACAAGAAGCGCTCGCTCGTCGACCTCCCCGTTAATAATAAGTGTGCTGGCGATACGCGAAAGAATGTGCACATACAACTGTGAAACTGTGAATGGATCGTTTCAGGGGAGACAAGGTGCAAATATCAATATTTTCGGAGAGTGAAGGAAAAACTGTTGGGTATAGAGCTGTCACTTGCTGAGTGCAGTATCCGGAACAGATCAGAACACGAACAGGCTCATTAGGTTCCTAATCAGCAGTAGCACAAAACTGTGGCAGTCAGTACCATCAACTTAGCAAAATGGTGACCATTGTGAACACAAACGGTTCCGGTTCATGCATAATGTTTGGGTGATCGGCCGCTACTCATGAGGCCGGGGTTGAGAAGTCACAAAGAAAAAAACGCATTCAACTAAAATATGATGTTGCTTCAGTAAGCTAGAGATTGAATTTTCAGTACGGTCAGAATTGGGATTAGACACATAGTTTCAACGGTCTGAACGGCTTGATAAAATGCGATAAGTAGGAGCAACGAGTTCAGAAGGGTTAAGAGACCCACAGAGCAAAACTTACCTAACTAAAGTGAAATGCCGTGACATATAGTGCCTATAAAGATTCCGGGTGGCGAAGCAAAGACGGTGTCGTAATTTAAAAAACTCCTGGGTAAACCCTTTGCCGACATGAAATACCGGGAATGCTCGTTAACGTAATGGGTCATTGTACCTGAGGGATGTTAAAGGTAAGTACACAGAAATATCTCTTGTCGTTCGCTTTCGGTAATCAAATCTGACATAACGCCTAGGCTTCACTAATACGAGGCAGCGGAAGCGGAGGTACACCAGACAAGCGACTAGTATAACACCAAAGAGCAAACCAGCTGTGCGGTAGTTAATCACTGATGAGAATTGTACGAGTGTCAGCAGGTATATGTAATCAAATCTACTTTCCAGACGCCCCCGTTCGACAAGATAGGATATCCATGACATAATTTAAGGTGTTTAGAATTGACTGGGGACAAAACGACCAAGGACTTACTTGCCTAAGAACGAAAATCTCACGCCTTGTTAATGTCGGTAAAGTTTCCTCAAACGGAAGGTTTGAAGTGGCAAGTTTCGACCAAACGCGCATCAAATCAGTCACATCCAGCAGAGTGCTGTGTATGCCTAATAGATGGATGGTACGGAGTGTGTGTGAATATGTGCCACTCAGATAAGCATGAAGTGGTTAAAGAGATAACAATCTCCGAAATATGGACCATTAATGTGACCAGTTGTAGCGAATCGAACAAACAGCAGGGAATATGACAATACATGAGCTGACGAATACATATCAGAAAACGGATGGCAAGTGAAGACAAGTGAGCGATACAACTAGCTAAATACACGCAATTCATAGTAGTTGCAGTAAATGCGCTCAAGGAATCTGGTAAAATGCCATGGTTACATTCAACACACATTTTAGAGCGCCACCCATAAGTAACAAGTTATAGAGACGCCAGAGCTTTTTGCAACTTTACTCCTGACCGAATAATTTCAATCATTAATTCAATCAGCGGAACAGTGGTCACTGCAGAAGAAAAGAGCGGCGCACGCAATAGAGGGGGGTCAAAGATGTAGGAAACTCGATCGTTAGCACAACTACTCCACGCAGATTTCTTTGTGGACCTAAACAAGCGCGGTGATAGCAGGGTATGAGGCGGTGAAATCTGTTTCAGGTTTCATCCCGACGGTTGTTCTGTGCTAGTAGGTCTGCACAGCCGCAAGTATTTTTCGATCTTACCATCAATAATCCAGTGCAAGTCAGGGACTTTAGGTGTCTTGGCTACAAAAACCAACGGCTGTGAAACATTAACACTTTATAAAAGAATATCAATGCCATGCTAAAATGATTTTTTAAAAGGGTTACAAACCGAAGGGGAGGTCTGGCTAAACCTTCTAGCAGCGCTTGTGTACCTACAGTTAAGTACAGACAACAAAATGGCTAATTGAAACAAAACGAGAAATCGGTTTAAGCTTCATCATATAGTCCATAAATTCAACGTTACCTACGGGCGACGACTGACATTCGGATGAGTGGTGTCGAGAACCCCGCCACGACAAGGTTACAAATGATACATACCGCCTACTCATGAGTAAGACAAAAGGCATCAAAAGGCGCATTCGCGTGAAATTGCCAAGGCCAACACAAGGTGACTTGTGCCCAGAAGTAGACGCACCGTTTTTGAATAAGTTGTAATTCCGGTAGGAAGAGGGAAATCGGTTAGCCCACTTGTGTTCCAGTTTGGATACGAGCATTTGGCAGGATTTAATCGTTCCAGTAACCATGTTCTTCAGCCATTTATGAGGCATTTCCTTGAGGCATCCAGTTTACTCGAAGCTAAAAAGGGTAACTTTTGTCAGCGATGCTGAAGTTGCTATATAAGGACGTTAAATGTATCTGAATATGGATCGGTAATCTGCTGATAAGAATAATGAAGTGGATGGCACGACGTTCCAACCTGTTTAAGGTAGGCGGACAAGTGAGGGAGCGGTTTCCAAACGGGAAGTCATGGTTGACAAAGGGACAGCCATTTATAATAACGAAAGACAATTGATAGCAGCGTTTCCATTATTTTTAATATACTAAGAGCCGTACTACAATTGTGATGTCCATTTAATCCACAAAAAGGTTACTCAGTGGGAGGCACGATTCCCAGACAGTAAAAGGCCGCCAAAAAACTGAGAACAATTTACCGGTAGGCTGTTTCAACCAGGCAATGCTAAGAGCTGTTCACAATAAAAAATTACAGCAAACGAATTTGTTTGTTCCAGGGAACTGATCTGGCGATAAAACTAACGAAAAACAAAATCCCGATATTCAAGATAGCGTGAGGAAAATTCGCTTTGATTCGTCTACGTGAATCGCGAAGTCGACCGATGGCTGAGTAGTCTGCGTGCCTAGTTTGCAACCAACGGTAGGAATCCACGTAGGGGGGAGGGGTGCACGCGGTATACTCAGCACCACGCGAGAATGATGGTGATCGTGTGCCAGCGAAGCGCCGTTATGGCGTACAGTGGACACAGTTTTTTATTTGTATCATTACTTGTGCTTCGAATTGAGTGTTTTAAACAGTCTCCCAGATCAAGTCCTGTAAGGTAAAACGTGTGCAGCAGTTCAAAACGTTGGATTTACATTTCACCACCATTCGATTCAGAGAACCACTGCACACTTGTGATGACATCTCACATTTGTGAGTCCTGCAATGCTGTGCGTCAGACGTTTTAAAATGCTACGTAAGAATTTGTAGAATGATCAGACTAGTAACAGGCAACACATTTTGATCAAATCTCAGTGGAGCTGTACAGATTCACATTATAACTTGCTCCCAGAATACCGTATTCAGTCTTTGCTGGTCCCCTGTAACACTGACACCGTGTGAGTAACGTCACAAGCACACCCGTAATCGCATTGAGACCAATCACCTAGGTTGGTCATTCAGACCATCTAGGCCTTCGAATCCGTACTCTTACCTGATGTTTAATTCCATGTCATACATCTGTGGTGCAATCGTTCCATGAGAAACCACTGAAAATGAGCTTGTTTGCCAACTTCTGTTGCTGACAGCTCTCTAGTGGAATACGTCTAGAGTCAGCGTTGAGTAGTTGACAGTGCAGCGTCAGGGCTGTTAAACCGATGACGAATTGTGATCGGTACTTCAGTTGCTTTGTGTAGGATTCGAACTATTCGACTCATGCAACCCTCAAATTGAGGATTTTGCAAAGGCAAGAAAAGACGGTGCTTCAGTGCAGACGAGTTTATTTGGCTGTTACTGTGTACGCAGAAAACTTAGTGTCTGAGCGCCTCTGCATATCGGACGAGGTCATCACTCCCTGTCGCAGCTAAGCTCAGATAGGGACCATAACTGACATGTGCAGAGATGCTACCACTTACTTTAATAGTAATGAATGTGTAGTCATGAAGACCACTCGTAGACGCAGTGGGGGCTTTGGCTGACATAGAAACTAAGTATGTGCTTGAGGTAGGAGATGATCGTAATGCATCCCACTTAGGTGGACGAGGAAGACTTTTGCGTCAAAGTAAGTTACATTCTCCCTGCTTATCCACTAATTAATATATTGTTTTCCGAGCAATTGACCTCGTGTCAGTTGTTGCAAATAATCTTCTTCGGTTTGACAACCCTACACGTCTATGACTGATCTCACCCGTTGGCTTGCTTGTTTACCAATAAATGCTGCCGATTCAAAGAAGAAACGGCTGGCTGATAAGTTCTTGTGATGGTATTTTTAAATCTCATTCACCTGGGGACTGGAGATAACAGGAGTAGGGAACCAGTACCGAGCTGTCTAGATCTTTTAATGGATGTGAACAACAGGTAAACCCATAAATCCACTGGATTTTTGGTCGGTTCAGAGTGGCAATGGGAAAAATCGTGACCCTCTACATCCCAAAAGTCGTCTCGTATAATAGGACTATGTACGGCATTGCAACGATATATCTTAATCAAGCGGATGCTACTGACTACCAGTGGCTTTGATGAGCTGCATATTAAGCACCACGCAGACATATGTGATTTTTCAAGGCGGTTAACTTACCACATAGCTCTGGCCCCACTTGCCACATTGCTTGCGGAGCTCCGTCAGACGAAATAGTTGAGGCTAGAGGTTTAGCATGGGGAGTGGGGGCAGTTCGTCCCGGGTGGAATTTGGCAGAGGGCGACAATTTTAATAAACATGAATGTTCTACACCATGAGTAAACGGTCGAATTTTCAGATAAGCCGATAGTTGAATATTGCAGAATTACACAGCATAACCAAAAATGCATTTACGAAATCTGTCACACATGCCGGTCGTCTGTTCCTTCTCGACTTTGCATACATCTGTCCCATTACACATCGTTCTTCATAGCAGTTACCTGTGAACATAACATTGTCACCCGTAGGACGGTGTACAAGGGCCACATCATCACAGAGGGTTCTACATCCCAACGTAATCGCTTTCGTGATTGGTCTGTACAAGCGCAAATACATTGATTCGTACTCTCGTTGAGTGACTTGCAGATAGTCGGTTATTTCTGTGCTAAGCGGGAAGTCGTGAGGTTTGTCATTATCGGATGCGATATCTTTTTTGGTATTAGCGTAGTTCACTTGGGGTCTTGTTGTGCCTTGACCCGGGAGTTCTACGCGTTGCTCAAAGGTCCAAAGCAGTTTTGTCGCTTGCAACAAGCCCGATCGGGTGTCCAGAAATACATCTGTGAAACCAATCCAAAGTTACATTTGTGCATTGAACTAACCATTCTCAGAATCTGGCTTGTGTACATGCAGCTTCTGCGATGATTCACTCCGTTACATACACATATCGTTGGAACGTCTTGATTCAAGCGACCGGTTTAAGTGCCAAACGATCTGGGGGAACTAAGTGGATCAGTCGATCAGAGCTTGTAAATGTTGTGGGGAAGTGATACTAGGAAACCACCACTTCACAGCTCATAGAGGGAGAAATTGCTACCGCAAGATCAGTTGCATTTTTTATTCTCACTTTGGTACTATCGTTACCTTTTATTTCGTTTCTAAGACTTTGCAGATCAGTTCTCCCAGAAATCTGTGCTCTACAGATATATCTGCAAACAAAACATCTGAATCTGTAACAAAGTTGCTTCAAGCGCCCCAGCGTTAAGAGTACACCTTCTTCAGAATGGAGTGGAGATGGTCGACTGTGCAGGGGAGGAATGCGAAGAATTCTACTCTGAATTGGAGCTAAACATGAAGAGTGGAATCCGCCCAAAGAAAGGAGTGAATGGTGAAGCATTGTCTAACACATCAATGGAATTTGATACCAAGTGGAAACGAGAAATGCTGTTTGTAATGACAAGGCTGATTGACGAAATATTGTCGACTTAAGCAAATTCATGACCTTGCAATCAAATGCACTTTCATTCCACCGTCAAATCTGCTTGATAATAACCATCATTGTCCGCTTGGAGAAATTGGGGAAAACATAGAAAAAGATAACTCCTTTGCCAGAACGAAAAGATCGCATTATTTCATGAAAGTTTTAGGAAACGAAAAACCAATGGACCTTTTGAAATTTGAACCTCATACAGAAATATCACCATCGGGAATCTACACCGAATATTGTGATCATGCTGCGCATGTTATTAACCCGTGCTGCGAACGTTCCTGGCTGTGAGCGCTCTTTCTCAAAATTCAAGCATATAAAGAGCTACCATCGTTCAGCAATGAAAGGGTAAGGCCGGCGGAGATGAAAGTTTTCACGTGAATCAACACCAGAAATCAGTTAAGGGTTAAGAATCCTAGTCGGTAAACTCTCGTCAGACCCATACGTTCACATAACGCTGATTGTGTGGGGTATGCGTAAAATCGGGCTGGGATTGATTTCTAAGGTGTTTGAACAGCCAAGATCGATGGCTAAAGATGGCAAGAAAAGTGCATCAACGAAAAACTAAATGCACAAGGTTCAACAGTCTAAAGTAAATAGGTAAGATCACAAAGGGGAATTAAGTAACCATGTCAGTCGGTCACGGTAGTAGTATCGGCCGTATAAATTCCGGCTTCAGATGGTGAATGTAAATAGCCTCGGCAATAGACAAGATCTGCTTTCAGAATCCTTGAGAGAAGCGTTCAGGTAGTGAGTATATGGCCACATTCGAGGTGAGACAAGAATGAGCTGTCTGAGGACTTCATTTCGCCTTTGTAAAACCACGCCGGGATGTGCTCGCGAATCCTCCGGCATAGGGGTCTCGATGTGTGACCCACGTATGGTGCACCACAGGAGCACGAGTACTGATAAACGAGCATTGAACGGATCAACAAGGGCAGCTTATATTTCAAGGGTTTTGCACGTAATGGCTTGTTGTGGTACACAATTCTCAAGCGGGCTGCAAAATAAGTTTTCTCAACGTCATCTTGCAGACGTCGAGATATCAGCTGCAGTACCACCCTTAAATGGGTGTAATGCTCCCAGGTTACTTTCGCTTTCGTTCTTTCAGATGCTTCATGACAAACTTATCGGGATAACCAATTTCTCGAAAGGCGCCGGTGACTCTCTATAGCTCTTCGCTGACGATATTCGGAGTGCAAATACTGCGCGCCCTGAAGGTGACAGTTTGGATTAAACTCCTCTTGTGCTGTAAAGGCGCTGCGCCGTGAAAGTGTACTGCCCAGTCCACGCATGCTTTCTGTGTACCTTACTGCTACATGAGCCGTCCAAGTTGCGGAAGACTTCTACATTCAAGAAAGGTAGCCAGTTTCCGTTTTCCTGCTCACAGGTGAAGCGAAGATTCTCATGTGCATCATTAAAGGCTCTCAGCAACTGTTTTGCATGGTTTTCGGATTCGCAAAGCACGAAAGTGTAATCGACACACCGTACGTACATTTCAGTTCCACAGATGTGCATCCTGAGTAGGCCATGTTCTAATTTCGCCATAAAGATATCAGCCAACAACAGCCCCAATGGAGATCCCATGGTCACTACCAATCTG